CTCTTGACAGTGATTTCACCCTGGCTGATCATTGGATAGTCATAGGGGTTGGTGGTGATCAGGAGAGCCTCTGGAAGGGTACGATAGATAAACATAGTGTTGTTTGGTGTTTTTTCTTGCATCGTTGTTATTTCAACTTTCTAATAATGTAGTAACATACCCAGGAGCTCAGGCTTGTGTCCAGTCATCAGCTGATAGAAGATATGGTAGCTCCTCTCAGCAGACAACTGGAAGGTGACACGGGACTTCTCCAGCAGATCTATGTTTAATACATCAATGTCAGCTTACGGTATAATTTATGTCTGACATCACATAATCACAAAAAAACTAGCGTCATATTGATGTTTACAAAAATACATTTGACTGAACGACATATAGAAAACTACTTACATGTTTCAATATCTGCTGAGGCCAGTTTGCCACTGGTTCCAAAGTGAATTCTGATGAATTTACCCTAAGCATATCAAAATTAAGTTAGAAGGATTCTTGATAAGCAGCCCAAAAAGCTTGTGTTTATTCTTCGTCCTTTCAAAACTTACGAAACGAGAGGAGTTGTCATTCCTCACAGTCTTGGCATTACCATAGGCCTCCAGCAGAGGGTTGGCTGCGATGATTTGATCTTCCAGTGAACCCTTCAAAAGATATTACAACATATTCTTTTAATATTGTAAAGAATTCTTGCGCAGGCAATTCTGTGACCTTTGTTTTTTAAATTAAAGGTAACCATACCTGCATCTTGCCAGGTGTTGGCTCAGCTTTCTTAGCTCCAGCCACTGCAATTGTTGCAAAGTACTGGATGACACGTTTGGTGTTGACAGTCTTTCCTGCACCAGATTCTCCACTGAAGGGAGACAGAGGTATCTTGAGTTAGTTGTATTTTTTATACACTAAATGTCCTATAAAGATAGGCAATTATTTGTACACAACTTACGTGATAAGGATAGACTGGTTCTCACGGTCTGAAATGACAAACATGTTGACGTTCCATTAAATACTACATATGGTCAAAATACTTTACAAAACCCAGAAACACATCATATCTGCTATGTCTCATTTTGTGTCATGCAAACATAGATTCATATGTCCTCTTCTTAGAATACAAAATCTCACCAGTGAGCATGAACTGATAGGCATTGTCAGAGATAGAGAAGATGTGGGGTGGAGCCTCAATCCTCTTCTTGCCTCTGTATCCATTCACAACAACAGCATCGTACACAGGAAGCCACTTGTAGGGATTCACGACGACGCAGAACAACCCAGAGTAGGTCTGTCATAGTAGAGAGCATAAACATCATATTAGAATTGAGCCGTACATATTTACATACAAATATAGTCACTGAAGAATAATGGAAACTTACGTAGATCATCCATGATGCATAACGCTCTTTGAGGTTATACAACACACAAGGTTCATTGAGGTGGGTCATCATGGCCATGTCCTCAATCTTGTCAAACTTTGGAGGGTTCCTGGGATGGATGTCATCCTCTTTTACAGTGATACTCTGAATAGGAAATAGTTAATAAAAAATTTTTCTGAGATATAATTTGAAATAAAGAAGTTCACAAAATGGCATTGGTGTTTGCAGTATTAGAATTTGAAAGACAATGATAAACTATTAGTTTAGTGAATGTGCTACTCAGATGTCATTTTAAATCACTTTTTTTTTTTGAAAGAACGTCCTCCTATATAAAAGGAGTTCACATTTTTTTAATTGACTCAAATGTTTTGGTTAAACCAGAAAAGTAAAATGGAATTTCACCTACCTTTCCTGAATCTGTGTCAACCGTGGCTTTGCCACCCTCCTTTTTGACCAGTTTTCCCTTAAGATACATCTCATCAGGATCAACCACAAAGTAAGCTGTCTTGGCATCAAATGGAGCAGACTGGGCCTCAATCCTCTCTTTCTCCGGCTTCCGGAGGAAGATGGCTGCAGGCCCATAGGCCTCCATCTCTGCGTCTGTGCTCATGATGGCACTTTAGTAGGGACTGAAAAAAAAGCATTTTAAATTACTTTGAGATTATTTCCTTCTGATATAGTTTGAATAAATGGTTTTGGTGGTGTTTTCACCATTGTATGGAGGTTGCAAAACCTCTTACCTCAATTTATCCCAGCTGAGTGGACCTGATGTGCTGATGTCCAAAGATGCTTTTAAAGAAAGATTTAGAAGATTGGTAAAGAGGACACAAACTCATAGTATTGTCCCCTACCTTGTTCCTACAGTAGTAAGCAGCAGTCACATTACATACATTTTCGCTTATTTTAGCAAATTTTCACAGCCATGTAAGGTTTTTAAATTTGCTTATATTTAAGAGTGTACTTTTCCTACACTTTTCAAGTATTCTCTAGGGAATCAAAAGTACTTTAATCATACAAAAAAAAATATGAATCACAGATTTGCTGTAAATTATATCTAAATGTATTGATGAATTTCTGCAAAAAAAATAGCCCCTCTGATCAGTGACATTATCCCTTTAAGATTACCGGACATAAAAAACACGACAACAAAGTGACAGGTGGAATTAGTACTTTTAGGCAAACGGAAATTAGATTCAGAAAACACACAAAGCACTAACCTGCGTGGGGTGCCCTTCAGTTCTTAGAGGAGTCTGAAGCTGCTGCTTTTATAGAGGCAGGAACTGCCTGCTCAGCAGCAGTCGGCCACTCGATTTGGTCAAGCATCCCTGTAATCTTAAGACCCGTCTTGGGACATTACAGGTTTAGACAGCTTTTTTGTATCTAAGATTGCTTAACTGTCAAAACATGAATAATACAAAAAACTACAGGCTATATTGGTCAAATAATACATCAAGGTATTGTCAGAATTTCACTTGTTTAAACTAAAAAATTAAGAAAACAAGCTTCAAATTACATTTTCCATCGGACATTATACATTTTCTATATCAAGCATTCTGAAAGATATACAATAGGAGGAAATAGTAATCATTTAAAAATAACAAAATAAATAATCTCATACGAGAGTTGAGCCTTGACTTTCCCTTTGAACCAATAAATGCTTTGCCCTTAGCAAGATACACTCAAATGTCATTGGTATTGAGTGTCAGCACATTTCCAAATCTTTGAAATCCTCTAAAATTGAATATCATGACATATATCTCTTAATATCACTAAGACTAGTAAAATAATTCAGCTGTGCAACTTTAAGTCTCTCACACAACATGTACACATTTTTCAGAGTATGCCAATTAATATTAGTGCTATCATGCAGCATGTTTTAGAGAGAAGTGTTGGACTTAACTCTATTTCTGCTCATAAAGCACAAGCGTGATGGTAATGTCCTAAGTATGTCCCAAAATAGATGGCGGGCGTTGCATATGCGTGTTTTTGAACCACTAATTAGCTTTAATAAATAATTTCTTCAAATAAATTTAGATTCTGACTTACTTGAGAAGGATTTTACCATTTTATAATGATGTCTCTACTTACTCATGCAACTGAACATGTGCACAGCCAAGAATGGCAATTCATTTTGGAGAAGCACCCAAGTGGGGCTGGTATATAGTTGCAGGACATTGGCACATCTCATATTCCTCTAATAAAAGTGAATGTAAGGCCCTCACCATAAAGTTCAAGTGGTATTACACCTTTCCTTAAAAGGACTAGAAGAACATTTGCCAACAAGGCTGAGATAAGACCTATAATAAGTCCCACTCAGATATCAAAGATCTTTATCCTCGTGCTACATTTGATTCTATGTTGTTGCTGTTATGGAAACTCAGTGTCCTTGAAAAACTATGTGACTCCGGTTTTGAGACATTGCTTGCATAGGTTCCAAAATAAAATGGCCTACGTCATCCCGAAAACAGCTGACAACTGCACAAATGCCTTTCAGAAGAATTAACAATGAATTACACAGTAATAGTTTATAAATATGTGTTTAGCTTGTCATGCAATTGTATAATTTCACAATCAGCTTTACAACGGTTTTACAGTTTTAAAAATAGATCACAGTATTTGTATTTTGTCTCTCTGTCCCTTTTTCTCAAGTATAACTATCTGTGCCTAGAGACTATAAGACTTTATTGTTTATTGCAGCACAATTTTGTGCTGGTTTATTAAGTTATATTAACACTTTAAAAAAATAATTCCATATATATGATAATTACATAGATACACATTATAGCCCAACACAGGGACCTAGGATGCTGTGTTAAAAGATTTATTTTGAAATACTGTCAGATTCATTTTTTCACAAAAGGCCTAACAAAAAGAATACATTTTGTAGGTTTATGAAGGGTATATTGAATCATTGCTGTTCAAGACGCAATGACATAGCTTGCATTTTTAAGTACTCTAAAGTTCGTAACGTTACTAAAAAAAAAGGTACATTGTGACTGTCTACTGTCTGAGCCATGATGACTCATTGTTTGGCTTTGCACTGTACACGTTTTAATTAACATTTCTCTTGTGCGTCAGAGAAATCAGCAGATCGTACCATCACCAAAAGAAAAGTATCTATCCTACAGTTATTTCTGATAGCTGCAAGTAGAAGACTCCAGTTGTGAAATGTTAATTACACTGCACGTTACCGCTTTCTCAAATAGTAAAATCTACAGACATTCCAGTTTCTGTTATGATGGTGTGTGATATTTGGTGCAAGAAACCTTGAAGTTGCAAAATGTACAAAAGTCATGAATATCATAGCATTATTTACTGTATGTTTGCAGATTTAATTGAATCTACTTTGTATTATTAAAAAATAACTTTGCCTGCACTACGGTGACAACACAATACATATCGAGACCCTTTGTAAACGTCAAAAGAAGCACAAAATAGATATTTGATGTGAGATCAGTATTTGGTTCCCAAATGATATGGAAAGTACAAAAATACTTTTTAAAAAGAGTTTTCTTACGCAGCACCGCATCGGAACTACAAAAACGGTTTGTAGTTTTTTTTATTGTCGAGTTTTTCGCGCCTGCGTACTCTGTGACAAAGCAACCGGAAGTGGAACTGAGGACTACACGCTTTGAGTACGCAAGCTAGTGTTAGCGTGCTAAAGTTAGCATTACTTTCATCTGGAGTTGCCTTTCTTTCTTGGAAGAAATGCCTTCGTTAAATGGAAAAGCTGATGTTATGTTTGTAAGTTGAACCTGCACATTGTTTTCTCGTGGTGTTTGTTGACAAGAAGTGTTAGCGAGCTAGTGTTAACTTTTATCGTATTGCTAGCTTGGACGTATGTGTAACGTTAGCAGTGTTTAAGTTATAATTCCGAAGCTTAGAACCATATAGATCTGTTGTCAGACCTAAATACGTGTTTACAAAATAATACTTGCTGTTAATTAATTCATAATCAATGAATAATGGGAAAACATACTGTTTCATTACCGCTGCGCTATCGCGCTGTACTAATAGCTATATCAAACGCAAGTCTTTCCAAAGTTAATATTGTTGCACTTGGAGTGTTAAACAGCTGTGCTGTGATTTCTTTGTTAGGAGGACGATGATCTGCCGTACGAAGAGGAGATCATCAGGAATCCATACTCCGTCAAGTGCTGGATGCGTTATATTGAATTCAAGCAAAATGGACCCAAATCCACCCTGAACATGATATACGAACGGGCTCTGAAAGAACTGCCTGGCAGGTAATCTACAGGAGGAGGATGTGTTGACGGCAGGGACATTTTCCTAAAGTGAAGCTCACTGGGGATACCTGCAAATGCACAGATTTTTGCGTCCACATCAGATCATGCTACAAATGAATGAGGCATTTATCAAGACTCTTCTGTAATTAATATGTGATTAGCACTGATGTGCATTGATATAAAAAATAGGTACATACTTTGACTGTCATGTAAGTGACTGTATAGGATGGACATTTTAGGTATAAGATCTTGTGCAATGACTGTTTGCTTGTGGTTTTACTCTTATGAAAAACAATTCCACCTTTTTTCAGCTATAAGCTGTGGTACAATTATCTGAGAGAGAGACGGAAACAAGTCAAAGGAAAATGTGTCACTGAACCAGCCTATGAAGAGGTCAACAATTGCCATGAAAGGGCTCTGGTGTTTATGCATAAGGTAATACTTTCTGTAGAATTCAGTAAAAAAAAAACAAAAAAACATTGTGATCTTTGGGAGTTGTGCTTTGAACTAACCGCTTGTCTTTTCCTAAACTAGATGCCCAGAATATGGCTCGATTACTGCCAGTTCCTTGTGTCTCAGTGCAAGATAACAAGAAGTCGGCGAACATTTGACCGTGCACTTAGAGCTCTTCCTGTAACCCAGCATCCACGCATCTGGCCTCTCTATCTCCGCTTTGTCCGTAACCTGCCCCTGCCTGAGACAGCCATTCGGGTGTACCGCAGGTACCTTAAGGTGAGAACAAAGTGCACAACCCAGGTTCCAACAACAGCTGTTATTAAGAATGTTTGTGATTTTACAGACTATTGTATTTGGATCCTTTTCAATGATGTCACAGTGCATTATGGTATGTGTGTTACATTATGTGTTTTAAACATTGCCTGTAAATGCCTGAAAAGTCTTAGCCAGATCAAAGGCTACTGGATTGCTCATTTAGTCTTGAGGATGTTTCACTAATTATCCAAAAGGTTTCTTCAGCATATCATTTAGAGCTCTGACATTGATTAACAAAGATTTAGAAGCAATACACGTTTACTAACAGTTTCATTTTTACAATAGAATACGATTATGGAAAAGGAGAATATGCTGTCGAAATTGACGCGCAAGTTTATTACATGAGTGATGATGTCCTCATAACATGCTGTATTCTCTTTATACTCTGTAGCTTTCTCCAGAAAATGCAGAGGAATACATAGACTACTTACGGTCTGTTGGTCGCTTGGATGAAGCAGCTGTGAGACTAGCAGCTGTTGTCAATGATGAAAGTTTTGTGTCCAAAGAGGGCAAGTCTAATTATCAGGTAAAATTTATTCTCACATCATCAATTTTCACTGTGTTTGTCTTTAAAGCTGAACAGGAAAATTCATACATTTGTTTTTTTTTACACTAATTTCTTGTACAGCTGTGGCATGAGCTGTGCGACCTGATCTCCCAGAATCCTGACAAGGTGACCTCTCTGAATGTAGGAGCCATCATCCGAGGAGGCCTCACACGCTTTACAGACCAACTTGGAAAACTTTGGTGCTCGTTAGCTGACTATTACATCAGGAGTGGCCACTTTGAGAAAGTGTGTTTTCTCTGAAAAGCTTCCATTTTTATAAAAAACAAAACAAAACACAAAAAAAACCACTTAACTGGCAGGATTGACTAACTACGACTCTTTATGTTCTCAGGCACGTGATGTGTATGAGGAGGCCATCCTTACAGTGGTAACAGTGAGGGATTTCACACAAGTGTTCGATAGCTATGCTCAGTTTGAAGAGAGCATGATTGCTGCCAAGATGGAGACCACTGCTGAGATGGGGCAGGATGAAGATGGTGCGTATTGATTTATAAATATTTGTAACATTTCTTGCTTTCACTTGTCTTGCCATGCATGCCTCACTCTTTGTTACCCTCCAACCAGATGACATAGACCTGGAGCTTAGACTGGCACGCTTTGAGCAGCTGATAGCCCGACGGCCCCTCCTGTTGAACAGTGTGCTACTGAGGCAAAACCCTCATAATGTCCA